GCCCTGGGGTGGCTCTGCCCCCATCCTGGGCTGGGAGAGGAGGAACGTGCCGGGGGGTCACAAAGAAGAGGAACCCTCCCTTTTCCCAGCAAGAGAAGGAAATCCCGGGCTCTGCCGTGGAGGAAGCGGGAGCGCACGGAGCTCCCGGTTTGTCACGTGTCCTGGGAGTCTCCACTCGCGGGTGGATGTTTTGAGCCCTTTCCCTGTCCCCAGAGCCGGAGGGGCAGCAGTGCCACCACTCGGGGACGCTTCCCTTGGGCCTTGCTGTCCCTCCCCAGCCCTTTACACTGGGGACGTTGTCGGTCTCTGCTGTTGCCCCTCTGTGTCCTCGGCCAACGCGGCGCTCTTGCTCAGTTCACAGCGAAGCAGCTGGAGAAGTTGGCCAAGAAAGCCGAGAAGGACTCCAAGGCGGAGCAGGCCAAGGTCAAAAAGGTGGGTGAGAGGGAGCTGCCGGGCCTGGCTCTGCGCCAGCGCCCGGGGATCCTGCTCTGTCGTCCGTCCTGCTGCCCGTGCGTCCTGGCAGGGCCTGGGGGGAACGGACGGGCTCCCCTGTCCCGGCCTTGGCGTGTGCCACGCTGGCCTCGAGGTGTTTGCAGTCCTGCTGCTTCCCCTTGCTCTCGGGGCGGATGTTTTGCATCACCGCTGTGACTGGGGAGGGTGTATCCTTCTCCTCGGGTGTGTTCAGTGGTTGTAAAGGTCACACGGGCTGCTCTCCTGCCAGGCAGAAATGCTTGTTTATAAACGAGGGTTCTCTCCCATAAACAGCGGCTCTTTGCTCTTCCAGGCTCTCCAGCAGAAGAATGTGGAGTGTGCCCGTGTGTACGCGGAGAACGCGATCCGCAAGAAGAACGAGGGGCTCAACTGGCTCCGCATGGCGTCCCGCGTGGACGCGGTGGCCTCCAAGGTCCAGACCGCAGTGACGATGAAGGGGGTAAGAGCCTCCCTGGGCGAGGTGGCGTCTTTTGCCCTTGCCTCCCTCCTGCCATCGGGACTTCCCTGTCCCTGGAGCAGGGTCACACGAAGCGCCGTGGTTAGTTCAGACCCTCAGGAGCGCCCACGTGGGTGTCTAGAGGAGCTCCGTGCTGATCAGCAAACCCGTGGCCAAAGGGACGGAGCAGACGGAGCTTGTCCCGCCTTGGAGCACTGCGAGAGCGTCGGCAGCACTGGCTGCTTTCTCCCTGGGCCCTGCTCTCGCTTCCCTTAGCCGTGACTTCTTGCTTTTGAGAAGCTTCCATAAAACAGTCTGTTCTTGCAGGTGACGAAAAACATGGCTCAGGTGACCAAGGCCTTGGACAAGGCCCTGAGCTCCATGGATCTGCAGAAGGTGTCTGCGGTGATGGACAAGTTTGAGCAGCAGGTTCAGAACTTGGATGTTCACACATCGGTGAGTGCCGGGGCCGCCGCGCGGATCCGCAAACGCCTGCGCTGACCTTTGCGCTGCGGAACCGCGTCCTGGCCGGAGCTGGGGCTCGCAGAGCAGCCCTGCGTCCCCGCGGGGGCTCTGGGGACAGCACGGGGCAGCACTCGTGTCCTTCACGCAGCCCTGCTCTGCGTACGAGGGGCCTCGGGCAGGACAAGGCTCTGCTGCCCAAAGGGAAAGGCGTTTGCCATGGGAAGAGACAAATCGGGCAGAAAGGAGGGAAGAAGCAGGGTCGTAACTAGAGGCTACCCAGCCTGGACAGGCAGAACAGGATCTTGCTCCGTGTGTTTTATTGTTGTCCCGCTGTCAGGCTTGAGCCTGTGGAGCCCATTTGGGTTAAGGGGGCTGGTGGCCGTGAGGGGTCTCTGAGTTGTACAGGTGAAGAGGCTGGATGTGGGCTGGGCTGGGTGGCTTTGCTGGTGACATGGGGTGACACCCGTCTCCATTACAGGTCATGGAGGACTCCATGAGCTCGGCGACCACGCTGACCACCCCGCAGGAGCAGGTGGACAGCCTCATCGTCCAGATCGCCGAGGAGAACGGCCTGGAGATCATGGACCAGCTCAGCCAGCTCCCCGAGGGCGCCTCGGCCGTGGGGGAGAGCTCGGTCCGCAGCCAGGAGGACCAGCTCTCGCGGCGGTTGG